GCATCTACAAATCTACATACAGTAGATCTTTATGTGGTTGAGTCTTTAGTGTATAGTTCATGCTAGTTAGTAAATATGGCAGGTTCACTGTGAGAGATCATATTGCCTTGAATTGATTTTACCCCCAAATACTGATTGTTAATAATCTAGTATGGAATATTTATGAGTTCTGTGATGTCCCTAAATGTGTCTATTAGAACAAGACTGAAGTGAGTGCAATGATTCAGTTCTCTGCATATTCTATATAATAATGTAATGATCTGTAATGATGGATTCTTTATTAGTTTGTGTTGATGTCATTCATGGTTGTTGTTGGTTTTTATCATTTGCCAATTTTAATCATGAGCAACTAGTAGATCCCCTCTGATTGATTTTATCAGCAATCCAATTTAATTGTATAACTAAGCTTATTTATTGTGAAGAAAAAGAATGCAGAATGCTAATATAAAGCTAATCTAATAGATTTGGTATAATCAATGATAGATTAGATTTATCATAGGCTATCATACATGGGGCAACATTGTTGTTGCATCCAACTTTGTGGTTACTTTGATCTCGTTGCCTTGAGTTGAGCAGTAGTCAACTTGAGGCAATCAAGATCAAAGTAACTACAAAGTTGCATGCAACAATGTTGCCCCGTGTATGATAGGCTTTACAATAACAGAGAAAAGAGGAGGAGTGGACTGGATCATGGATGACAGGAAGTAACCTGAAAAGTTGTCAATTTCTGAAGTGGAATAAAAAAATTCATGGTACATAAAATTTTATAATAATAATAATAATTATTATTGGGTGGACTATTACGCTTGATTTACAGGAAAAGGTAAATAGGTCTAGTCCTTATTCATTTTTATTAACTAATCTATGATACTAAAAACACAAACTCTTCTTTGCAACATAATAGGAAGTAAATACTATATATTTTAATTTGAGATGCTTGTTTACATGTGTATTTATTGCCCTCTCTATCTTTAATTTCCTTCGTTCATCTGTGATACACAAACTCTTCTTTGCAACACAATAGGCAGTAAGTACTAATCTATTTAAATTTGAGATGATTGTTTACATGTGTATTTATTGTCCTTTCTATCTTCATTCATCTGTGATACACAAACTCTTATTTACAACGCAATAGGATGTAAGTACTAATCTATTTTAATTTCGAATGATTGTTTACATGTGTATTTATTGTCCTTTCTATCTTTAATTTAATGGATTAATCTGTGATACATAAACTCGTATTTACAACACAATAGGAAGTAAGTGCTAATGTCAGATGTATCAATTGTTCTTTCTATTTTTAATTTTTTTATTGTTCTCTTTCTATTTTTAATTTTTTTGTTCATTTGTGATCAAAATATTTATTACCAATTTACATGTATTTTATTTATTATAAGCCTTTCATTATTTGTTTTGAATTCAAGATGCTGCATACAGAAGAGCTCTATCAGAAGGAGAAGTGGTGAATGTTGCTTATTCACGTGTTCTTTTTCTGGGTACAGCAGGTGTTGGGAAGAGTAGTTTCAAGAATTCTCTAATGAAGTTACCATGGGATCCTAAGGCTAACAGTACCATCATATCTGATGTCAGCTGTGTTCGTCCCTTTGCTAAGGGATTGCTTAGTGATCAGTGGGAAGCAGTTACTCATGAAGCTGAAATTGAAGCAATGGCTCAATTGTTTTCTGCTATCACTAAAGATGAAAAGTATCTCTCAGTTCTTTTTTATCCTACTGAATATGTCACTACTACATTAACTGCAACAACAAAGCTTAATTCTGTCCTTCGTCAAGTTAACAAGTTTAGCAAGTTTCAAGTTATTAAAAAGTCTTCTACAGGGGATCAGTTGGAGCCTCATCTATTAATGCATTTTTGGGATTGTGGGGGTCAACCTGCTTTTCTTGAGATCCTACCAGTTTTTCTTACCTCTCGTACCACATTCCTCCTTCACTTTGATGCCTCTAAAGATCTGAACAGCAAATGGCAATCAGTTCATCATATTGAT